TTTTTTTTTTTTAACAGTTATTGAACACTGTTGAAATGTGAAGTGTAAATAACTGTATTTGGGACCTCACAATCACAGCTGACGATGCTATATTGTCGCTGCAGTAAGGAACTTTTCTGGGTTTTTTTTACGGTATAGAAATTTCTGGAGAACCTGTTTCTGGGGCTGGTTACTGGTGCCCACATTGCAGCTGAACGTACCGGTGTATTTTTCTGTCATTAAGCTCTTTGGCGCAATGGCCCTTGGAGCAATATTTTGTCCTGTATCACTGTTTCTGAAGGAGTAGAGGATGTGATGTGGTGTTGGTGGAAGTTTCTTCGAACCGTCAATATGCGCTTTTTGCGCGAAATTAGTCTTTAAAGTGGTTGAGTATTTGATTTGTTGAGTGGCGTCTCGCCTTACTCGTAAGGCTTAAAAGGAGCCTGCGTGCTGATGTTGTTTAGGTTGGCGCAGGCGGACTGCTGATTGCTTGCGGTTTAAAGCCGGCCCTGTTGCCGGTTCCGTTCGAAGTTCCCCAGTTGCTATATCACAGAGAGGCAACTGTCTATAAAATTGTGACGTGATCCCTCATTTAATAGAGCTATAAAGGCTTAAGAAGTTTTGCTGCGCTCGAACATTTGCCGCCAGTGCGCGATGCTGCTTCCGGGCTGGACGCAGTCCACAAGTGTCCTGTTAGTAGCACCCAAAAATATCTTCCGTCGAAAAGCAGCATCGTATATAGCGAAGATACTGTGTGCGCTGAGGGAATTAGGTTTCCGGCTGTCTTCTAGTTTGCACAACATTAACTCCGTGCCAGTTCAGAAATAGCAACTGTCTACATCCGTATATTCAACTGTTTCTTCTGGATGAGGTGGTCATAGGTGCCCTTTACGGCGGGGGGTCTTTTGAAGCAATTCTACACCCGCACTAATAAATAGCCATAAATTAAAGAGCTTTTTGAGAAAAGCAATGGGGAAGGTCAGTCTCTAGAACAGAAGAAGTTCTAGAGAAACAATATGGAGGTTGGCAGATACAAAGCACTCAATATATTTTTATTTCCATCAAAAAGTGTATACAGATTTCCCGTCTGTCACTACAGCTTTTACATTTTGCAAAAACGCATGTAATGGGAAGAACTCAAACGTTATATTACCATCTGAGTGATGTAGGGGTTTATGAATTTATCTTCAGAACAGATCGGACACCCTTTCTGATCCAAACGAAGGAATATCTTTTTTGACTCGGTCTCGGCCAAAACCTTGTTCAGACAGGTTTCATGCATGATATGACCACATCCAAAAAGAACTATGTCTTCACAAGTACGTCCTTCAGACGCAGAACGGTCAAGTAGAACGTAGCCCCTAAAAACTAATCTGTGAGCAAAGACTGCGCCAACCAACGGTTCACTCAGTGCTAATTCACTGTTGACATTTAGTAACGAAAAATGAATTGTATATCCATTTAGCAGTGGTAGGAAACCATCTATTATTCTAGTAATATTTTAGAGAATTCTCCCTCCTTATCCCCTAAACCCTCCACTACAAGATATTTTCTCTAAATGCCGGAGATGGTAGACCTCGTCGGACTATAAAAGCCATTTTAGAGAAATTAATAGCCAGTAAAATAAAATCACGCCGTACTACAGAAGTGCTACTCTCTCTAAAGGACTAACTCTTATGGAATCTTTTAAAGAGGATAGGATAATAGAAAATTAACAAAAACTACAGAACGGAGATGCCTAGAACCAAGAAAAAAAGCTCGACAGACACTTTTGAGCCAAAACTTCAAAGAAGCTGCAAGAAAACGCTAAACACCCAGCCAAAATGTATTTTCACACCAAATCAGAAACTGATTTCCCAGCACTAATGAGAGAGGCAGTAAAAATCTATAAGTCTGGATCTGGAAATAAATTTACTTACCTGCAAATAACGCAATGAGATGTGCTCTTCACACTGGCTGGTCGCTTACAGGCATCAACAAATCTTCTAAACAGATTACTACAATCCTCCAGTGTCACCATCCTACACCCATTCTGCACTTGTACTTGCAGCTCATAATCACTCAATATCTTGGCTAAAGACTCCCTCAGTCCGGGAATTACCATATCACACGGGATCTATAAAGGGTTTCTTTTTCAATTGTTATGCTCTACTTCAAAAGAAAATTCTACTCAAGTACTTCAGAAACCGTTGAGGAAACAAAAATACTT